GTGCCTGGTAAAGCTGGTTAGTAAATGGATTCTGCAAAGTTTGCTAGGCAAGTGCGGCTTGCTGCCTTAGTGCTGAAGCAGCGGTGTCTTCCTGATGAGACTAGGAAGGGTTTCTGAATTTTCTAAACCACAAAACAGCTGGTTCCTGTCTGTACTGGTTGAGAAAGTAGCATCGGTGCCTCACTGTCAATAATGGGGTCAGTGTCTAGGGCAGAGGTTGCCACAAGTGGCTTGGGCAGCTGGTGCGTGTGTGCAGGTGAGCTTGGGTGCTCAGTAAGGGAAGGCAGAGCACAGAGGAGTGGAGCAGGGCAGGAGGTTGCTACAAGAAGAGGTGTTGGTTGTTACCACCAAGAGCTGTTTAAACTTCCCCTGGTCCTGCAGCCTCTGTTGAATTCAGGGCTTTGGATCCTCACCTGCCATATAAAACAGTGGTGTTGGGGGTGGGGGGCTGGGACAGGGCAGAGTTAACCTTGTCCTTGATGGTGACACCCCTGTTGCAGCAGCTTTTTACCCCAATTCATGTTGTGGCCAGAGGCTCAAGCCCCCTGCCTCCAATCTGGCGTCCCACAGCACAAACTGTCAGGCGTGCCTCTGGGAAGCAGGGGTCGGAGTGGCACTTGGGGAGGGGGTGGGGCTTAGCTTACAGCGTGCTGCCTGCCCAGAGACCTGGCCACCGCTGGCTCAGTAGATGAGCTCGCTGTCCTGGTTACAAACTACTTGTAATGACGGTGCCGTCTTCATCCTCCCTTGAGTCTTGTGACAAACTTAAGTTTTCCAAGACAAATTGAGGAAGCACCTGTCTGTTTTCTAAGACCCGGGGGTCCTGATCACAGTCTGGCGTTCATGGAGGTGTGTTTTTTGTCCTGCTCAAAGCACTGACATGATCCTGCCCTGTAGTTTAGGCTATTGAACAAGCAAGAGCACAGTGTATGCTAATCAGAAAGGGTTGTGCATAGTTGTCTCCTGGAGCCTGCCCTATTGAAGGGGAATGTAGAGTTTAAGTGAGCTGTTCCTTGGACTGTAGAAAATGACATCCCCTAAAATACCTGAGACTTGGTAGGCAGGGCAGCACTGAGCCCCTTTGGGTCCTGTGCTTCAGAGGGTGGAAGGGTGCGTGGTCAGGGTCTCGGTTCACAGTCTCACTGTGCGAGTAAGCTGCGTGGTTATCCTCCACCGGCTGCATTCCCCATCTTACTCACCCGTTTCCCCTTGCTTTTGGTGACTCTTGCAGGGTCCAGATTCCCACTATGGAACCAAAGGACTGCGCAAAGTGATTCACGAATCGCCAACGACGGGAGCCAAAACCTGCTTTACTTTCTGTTATGCGGCTGGGAACAACAATGGCACTTCTGTGGAGGATGGACAGATCCCAGAAATCATCTTCTACACATAGTGCAGCTGTTGGAAAGGGCTCGGGATGGCCTTTTTTTGTTTCCCCCCCCACATAACCTTCCCACCAAAATCTCTGGCTGAGTTCGACCCTGCCAATGGGAGCCATACTAGCCAAAGGTCTCAGTAAAACCCTTTTAAAGCTCATGTTTTGCCTTGTGCTCGTGACGCTGCTGCTGCCACGTACAGACTTGCTGGGTCACCAGTCTCATTTGTAGATTGCCTGTGGCTAGGAACTCTTCTCATTTTACCGATGATCCATCTAATGTCATGGGTTGTTTTTTTTTTTTTTTTTTTAATTGTAATGAATGTAGATGCTTTTATATCAGAAGCATGGAAACAAGTGGCTCTGGGTGTGGCTCAATTCCCAGTGAGGAGACAATCCTACGAAAAACCCAAAGGGTCACTGATTCCCCACCCAGCCCCCCCCTTTTTTTTTTTTCCTTTTGCCCAACTCTGCCTTCTGGGGGTAGGGTTTGCTGTGTTGCTCCCATAGTACTGTGTGGACAGCGTGGTCGCCCATGACACGCAGCCCACCAGAACGGGGCTGGCATGTTTATGCCGTTAGCGAGAGCATAAGGGAATTGAGACTTCCCTGTTTCAGCACTACAAGGCCTTGCGGGCGACCTCGAACCGGAGTTGTACGCTCCAAGGAAACCACTTCTGCAGGGTCCACAGCATTTCCATGCTCTTCTCACTAACTTTGAGACAATCTTTTACTTTAGGCGGTTGGTGGAAGCGAACTGAAACCCCCTGTGGATAGATGGCCATGTACGCTTGGAGAGGACCAGATTGGCTTTCAGTAGAGCTCCGTTGTTACCTACATGAAGGCTCCCCTGCTCTGTCATGGTGGTGCTCTTTTTTTTTTTTTTTTTTTGTTTTTTCTTTTT